TTGTAATACACTCGTCGCATGATATGCATACCGTGATAGCATGATATCCGACAATACACATAGATCCTGTACATTGTACAACTTCTATGATAGATATTTCACGAAGTACTTTATCCGTTAGCGATATAAAACTGGAAGATGATAACGGATATGTTTATCGCGTAATATTGTATGGAAAAAGTATGATTTCGTTAAATCACAACTCTTGAGATGGCATCGACTAATAAGAATCAGTGCGGTAATTGCTCATAAATTTTTATAAGAGATTAATTAACATTACATATATATTTAACAAACGTTTCAGCACACTTTTGGTCACCTACAATATTACATAAGTAATCATGATAATCGTATAATTATTTCTATGTAAAAAATATATCCAGTGAAAAATATCTCTTTCGCAATGCAAGGAATGCATGAAGTCTGCGGATAACGTGCCTCTCAAGAATCACAATGGTTACAGTAAGGAACATATAGACGTTCTTTATCAAATATGATCACAATGTAAAATCGCAAAAAGTAAGTATGTAAAAGATAGTGTCACAATCATTGTTTGTTTCATGTTGCTATTAGCCGATGACATCTCAAGTGTTGATTATTTCTGGGAATCCATTGATTTAATTTTCAATATGTCGTTAAATGTTTTTAAACAATTAAGAATAAATGACGTATTGCATAGGGATATACGTGTCGAATGTAAGAAACACTGACGAAAGTGACTCACCGTAAGATTCGAACGTGTTGCTGCACGATCATTGCCAATCTGTCATTCATTTTATCACATAAACCTTCCCGGCCGTCTATCAAGTGCTCGATCCACTGTATTAGAATCTCCATACGGCCGTAAACGTGCATCGCGAATACGGCGGCTATGCTGCATCCAGTGGCAGTGATGGAGTGCGCGAGGAAGCCCGACAGACATTGCACCCAAAAGAAAATCTCATTGGCGGGACTGTATCGCACGTCGATGATCTTTCTGGCGACTGGATATCTGATCGGCCAATACGTCAGGTTTCCGTCGTTTTCTGTAATTTTGCCAATACTGTACGGCACGGCGAAATAAAAGAAAACGGCGCTGCCGTACATGAAGCACGCACAGATCGTCACGAGGTGCCGGCCGAATTTCGCGCTTTTGATCATGATGATCCGATCGTCGTAATAACGAGTATTTTTCCAGTCACTCTGAATATGCTTGATACCGTTGCGAATGTCCTTTTCGTGGAAGATCAGCGAACAATACTTCACGATAGCCAGTATCATGAAACTTAGCGCTCCGCTGATTTTTATGATAATGTACGTGTTGTCTATCTCAAGCATTATGCTCATGACGGCGGGTACAACGATGAAGCTAATCAAACTGACACAAATCACGTGCAACATTGCGTACGCGTATCTCTCTATCCATGAGATCGCATTGGATTTCGGCCACGCGCCAACCACCTCCAACATCCAACGAATCAGCTGAACACTCAGCTGCAAATCTTTCTCGTGATCATAGACTGTCGCGACTGAATTCGCCTTCCCCGTAGTTGTCCCGTGCATCATTGAAGCGGCGAGAGCTCAGTGATGACTGATAGGATTGTGCAAGCGCTCGAGCGCGGAAAGTCAATTGCGACTGCGCTATTCCACGTGACTTCCCTTCTAAGAAAGGGATGATCAAACAGGATACGAAGGGTAAACTTTGTAGACGCAATTCCCGACTTCCGCGAGGGGGTTCATCACGGTTTCCTCATGTGATACGACACGTTGTCTGTCCATGAATTATGAACGCAACGTAATGCTGTCCCCGCAGATTTTTTCCGCAACTTTATCGGGGTGGATAGAGGGAAGCATTTCTTTCCTGCGTGAGGTATTACACATAGAAATAGCATTTTGCGTACGTACACGTACTATACTTGCGTACGTGTACGTACGCAAGTATATTCTGCAATGCTTATATACAAGTCGTGAGATGTATTATTGCAGTATGTTTTAAAATGAAGAAAATGCTTTCTCATCTTACGATATTTTTCTCAAATTAAAGAAATTATTTTGTAATAAAATAGAATTGCATTTTAATATATCAGAACAGAATTTTTTAAACTTATTTTTTTTTAAATATATTAGGAAGTATTTTGATCCACCGTTTGAAATAAGTTTTTTGTTAACATATAATGTAATAGAAATGCACGTATCTAGAAACTATCTGAAGAGACAGGTCTAATGTCTTGGAAGCATAATTGAGAATCGACATTTAACGTGCATTTTACTTTTTAATCGTAAATTTTGCGTTTCTTCGGACGATGAGAATTGTTTCAATACGTGCCCTCATTTCGAATTTATGTATGGCAGGTGCAATACTAAAAATTGCTCGAGCATGACTGGACATATGTGATGACGGGGGTCTCTCTTTCTGTAAAAATACATAATTGCGTGCACACAAATGTCTGCATATAATGATAAGGTTATATGAAAACAGTCGTTAATTTAAGTGTCACATTGTCTAAATGCAACATTGAGCAAGAGAAGAGTCGCCGTGCAGTACCATACAATTTTCTTACACTTACGAATCATAAACAATATTGACGAACAAAGTTGTGCTGCATATTGCTAAACAGAATGTCATGTAAGTAAATTATATTTCAATATATGCATTGTTATAACAATTGAAGAATCAGATATGAAAATTTAATCATGAACTACAAACGTTATAAGAATAACACATATACAAAATTCCAGTACTTCCGATTGCATTTTGTTTAATTTTATCACGTGATATATACCAAGAAATATTTTAAAGGAATATATGTAAGAAGTTTATTGGACTGTTTTTTTTTATAATGTCAGATATTTTAATAAATATAGCAGTTTTCTATTTCCTAAAATAATTCATTTTTCCTTTTCTATATGCATTAGATAACTAATTGACATTAATTTTGTATTCAGTAGTTGTAACAATTTCTACACTTTGGACAATTTTATATTTTACGTAGTTAATGTACGTAGCATGTTCAAGTAGGCGACGGATGTCTTAACCACCTATTGATCAAACAAATATGCGTAATTTATACTATTCGCAGGCAAATACGATACTGATATTGATATTGCGTTACTCACGTCGCCGAAAGTACTGAGCGACAACTCGAAGAAATTTCCGGCAGTGAGTTTGATCGACGTATTGGAGATAGCGATTATCAACAGCAGGGCGAGACCCTTTCTTCCTGGCAGACGATGCCAATCGATCATGTACGATACCTCGCCGACCTTCTTGCACTGTTTACAGGATTTGCTTTTCTCATTTCTTTTATTCGAAACATGTCTAGGCTTACGCCGCTAGGAGCTACTTTCTACAATGGACTCTGAATTTCATAAATTTCATTATTATTAGATTTGTAATATTTTTGCTACTGTGTAAAAATATACTGTAAAAAATAAGACTGAATTATATATAAATATCCTGTGAGTATACTATGCACGTTGTATATTATATGAAGATTGTTATTAAATTTATATCACAATTGCCGATGAGTGCTTTACCTTTTCTAGCAAAAGTTCGCCAATGTAACACAATATAAAAATATTGAACGTAAGAGATACAAGCAGAACCATAAATGTTATATAACGTGCAGGTTCTCTAGTCTCCCATTCCTGCAACGTGAAGATTCCTATATTCGAGAACGTAAATGAACCGTCGATTTTAATATATATGACTTCAAAATTACGATGCACTTTGCAACGTACTTTTTGAACGAAATGCATACCGTCATAGAAAAATATCCAAGAAGACACATGTTTAACGTACATCCTACAATTTCCACTATAGATATTTCACGCAGTACCTTGTCCGTTAGCGATATAAAGCTGGAAGGTAACGGGCATGGTTATCGCGTGAAAAATTTCACAGGAATACTACGATTTCGTTAAGTGTTCCTAAACAATTGAAAATAAATTGAGGAGCGCTATGTAGATAGATACGCGTTGAATACAGGAATCATCGACGATGCTGGTGGAAAACGACTCACCGTAGGATTCGTACGTGCTGCTGCACGATCATCGCCAATCTCTCGTCCACGTTGTCGCAGAAATCTTCCCGCCCGTCCACCAGGTGTTCGATCCACTGCATGAGGACTTCCAGGCGACCGTAGGCGTGTATCGCGAACACGGCGGCCAAGCTGGACGCACCGGCGGAGATGGTGTGCGCGATGAAACCGGACACGCACTGTAGCCAAAAGAGGATCTCGTTAATGGGACTGCGCCGCGCGTCGACGATCACCCTGGCGACGGGGTACATCAGCGGGCGATACGTCAAGTTCCCGTCGTCCTCCGTGATCCTGCCGACGCTGAACGGCAGGGCGAGGTAATAGAAAACGGCGCCGCCGTACATGAAGAACGCGCAGATCGCCACGAGGCGCCGACCGAACTTCGCGTTCCTAATCATGATCGTGCGATCTTCGGAGTACCGAGTGTTCATCCAGTCTTTCTCGATGTGCCTGATACCGCTGCGAATGTCGTTCTCGCGGAAGATCAGCGAGGAATACTTCATGATGGCCATCACGCAGAAACTCAGCGCCCCGGAGAGTTTCAGGATGAGGTATACGTCGTGCATCTCGAGCACCATGTAGATGGCAGATGGCACGAAGAGGAAGCTGACTGAAGCGGTGCAGATTACGTTTATCAGAAAATATACGAGATTTCCTATCCGCGAAAAGTCGGCTGATTTCGGCCAAACGCCAATCGGCTCCATCAGCCAACGAATCTGCTGAACGCTCAACCTCATATCTTTCTTGTGATCATAACTACTCTCGATGGAGCCCGTTTGTTCCATAATGATTCCGTTTGTCATTGACGTGACGAGAGCTCGGTCGACACTGAGAAGGTTGCGCGAGAGTTTGCGAGATCGAGGAAAGCCAAACGTCGCGTCTGCGCGTCCCGCGCGACTTTCTTTCTAAGAAAAGGGTCGCGTTCAGGATACAAAGGGTAAACTTTACAGTCGCGATTCCAACTTCCGCGAAAGGGTTCAAGGTTTTTTCATATGATACTGTACTAGTCCGTTTGTGTGAATTATAAACGGAGCCATTTATATTCATCGTAAGAATAGCTTCCGCGATTTGTGGGAACGGATCGTAAATGTTTCTTTCTTTGCGATGTTACACCCCGTTATATAGGGAAGAATACAATTTTTCGTGCATATTCATGTATATTATATACAGTCCTTATTTACGAGGAATGTAGAATAAAACTTTATATTAAAATGTAAATTTTAATATATTTTTGCATGCAGGAAATGTGTAATTTATAAAATGTGAATTGTTGTACTGTATATATGTTTCATCAAGAATTTAAGAATGAGTTTCATTCGATGAATTATAATTCAAATTGTACTGCCTCAACTAAATGTTTATTGTATATTTAATAATATATTTTTTTAAATAACTGCGTTAATATAATATGTTAACCTGTGATAAACTGGAAGATATTTTTTAATTGGAATCTAATTTTTCAATTTTTTTACATATTTGTTTTCTTATGAAAAATTGCATTTTTGTAGTTCAAATAGTAATAATACAAGATAATATAAGACATATAAAATTCTAATTTTGTGTTTTTTTTAATGACGACATAGTACTTACATCACATAAAGCTGCTGATAAATTGATTGTTCAATATGAACCTCATGATTAAGATGATGATAAATTGATTATTCAATATGAACCTCATGATAAAGATGATGGCAACGTTTTTTTTTCCAAAGTCAATCATGTATGAGTCGATCATATATGAGCTCTCACATACTTTTATAATCTGTCATGAGATTTTCGCTGAAAAATATTTTAAAATGTCTCGTGATATTGCATATCGTTGTTTGAAAGATTTGCACATTATACATATATAACAATATACTATAAAGAAAATAATGGATGTACTATTTTCTTAAAAATTTATTTATTTATGTAATAAGATATGATTTTGTTAAATGTAAACGAAATGAAAAGAATCAAATATGTTAAGGTTTGTTAAAAATTTCATTTGAAAAATATACAATATTTATGACTGACAAATAAATAATAGCAAAAAAATTATTGTATATTTCTTCGATATACTATATCTAGAAAATAAAGAATAGATATGAATTTATTATATAAAATAAATTTAAATATGTACCATTATACATATTACTGATTTTCGATAAAACTTATATTTAACGTATATTCTACAATAATTCGAGAAATAAATCAGTTTAATAATAAAAAAGAAATAAGTCTAATTGGAGCTATAGCGCGGTAAGCACTATAACACAGAAAGCGCAAAACAATTTAGTAGCGTTAAAAAAAATTGTTTAATTCAATACTTGTATAACGATACAGCGTTATATTGAGAGAAAGTCACAACTTTAAGAAATTACGCTCACTCATTATTCCGGAAGTGTCAAGATCATTATTCCATTAATTGCTGAAGATGATTCAAAATTGAATCGAAATGTCCATGGATCAACAAGTATTGAATTAAAAGATTTTTAACACTACTAAATTGTTTTGCGCTTTACTTACCGCGCCATAGCTCCCATTAGCCTTATTTCTTTTTTATTATTTAACAATTTTGGAAGTTTGCTAATTTTATTAAAAAGTACTTTAGTTTTTCTTTTGAATTTAATCAATAAACAGACATTTAATTATCTTCAGAATACACCACAAGCAAAATCCGCCATTTATCGCGAAAACGTTTTTGAATATCCATATATAATAAGACTACTACAAAGCACTTACATTATTAGATTGAGGATTTAAAAAAAGCTATTTTGTGGACATTTTTCAAAAGTATCGTTCATTTCCGGTTTTTTCAGATTTGACCACATACCGATTGTACACCTGCATCGTATATTTAATGCTGTTCTCGTAGTTGAAATTCCGTAGAGTCGTCGATAATGGCATATATATACATATGGAAAGAGAAAAACCGATTCTCTGGACCACTTGTTGCGAAGCGCCATCGTACTCATGAATGTAAGTACGACGTCATCTTACTGATGAATACAAGTACGACGAAAGCAGTTTTACATTATGTACGCTTTCGTGTCTTTATCATCGCGGTAGTTCTGTCACAGCAATTAAAAGTTTGAAAGTTGGCGTGAACACAATTTTTTGCCAATACGAGATAATTACAGAGTAGAATTGATTCACACTGGACAGTCTTTAGCAAAAGTTCGACCGGTCTGTATTCTGGCAGGTCATAGGTCAAAGCGAATTATTAATAAAGCAATGATTAAGTTTTGCAGTACATTAATCTTAAAAATAATTTTGATGAGCGCATTGCCAAGACGTGTTTTAAAGAAAATCATACAAAAATTGTCTCTTTTTCAACAATATATTTTAATATATATGACTAATTTCTATTTAATAAAATCACATTTACTTTTTTCTCAATACGTATCTAACTATTTGATAATTATTTAATAATTTAATAATTTCTACACGTTGGACGAGTTTCATGTAGTTAATGTACGTAGCATGTTTAAGTAGCCAAACGATGTCTTAACCACCTATCAGTTGGATGAATGATATGTTAGTCATGTTTTTTGCAAACAGATACTATATACATACATTGACATTGCGTTACTCACGTCGCAGAAAGTACTAAGAGACAATTCAAAGAAATTTCCGGCGGTAAGTTTGATTGATGTTTGATTGGACACAGCAATTATTAAGATGAGATCGAGGCCTTTTCTTCCTGATAAGCGATGCCAATCGATCATGTATGATATCTCGCCAATCTTCTTATACTATAAAATTACTTCTCTTATTTCTCATACGAAACATAACTACCTTTATACCGCTAAAAGTAACTTCTTAAAATGAATTATAAATTTAATAAATATTATTATTATATACAATTCCATTCATTAAAAATATCTTAGAACATATAATATGTTCTAAGAAAAATATACCATGTACAATTAAGGAAAGTTGGAATCGTCACAATTTTTGAATAATAGTATTCGGAAAAAATTGGATGTGAGATTTTTAAAAATTATATACGTTATAATGCACTTAAGTATTAAAAAAATATTCTTGTATATATGTCTGTATTATACAAGTATTCTATTTAAAATAAAGCTGCCAAAATGCGACAATTAATTCCGTACTAATAACATTTTTTATATAAAATATTACATAATATTTTATTATCAAATATACAAAAAATATAATTCTTATTTTTTGTTGTGTCTATATTTAAAAAAATAATATTAATCACTGTATTGATGTAAGTAAAATAATTATTTTAATCATAAAATATGCAACTTGTTTTTATATCATAGCTTTCACACGAAAAATGAAAAAAACATATATATTAATATGAAATATTATATTTATAAAACAGCGTTGATCGAAAGAGATTTTCGTCGTAATAATTCTCAAAAAATCCCAACTCATTTTGATCAATTTACTGCCACATTTTTGTCATTTTTAATAAGAGAGATTGTAGCTACAAGTTTTGCTACAGTAATGATTAACTAATTACAGCAAAAATGATCTAAGACATGTCATTTTCTACGATTACAGGAAAATCGCGATTAAGGTCAAAAACTTTCACATTTAAAAAACATTTTTTTAAAGTTGTAATATGTGCGATACTTTTGGCAAATCATTTTACACAACAAATTAATATTGTCTCAGAAATCCCAGTACAAAGTAGAGAATGTCATGCCATATACTAATCGAGTTATACTAAGCTTTCTACAAAATTTACTTGTGAAGTTTGACATTAAATGTATCAGAGGTGCGGAAGAATAATTAAAATTTAGGACTTTAGAACTTTACCTTTTCGGCAACAAGCTCGCCAACGTAACATAATATAAAAATATTGAACGTAACAGCTATATATAAAACAACATACGTTACATAACTTGTCATCTCTTTATTCTCCCATTCCTGAAACGTACAGGTTCTTATATTCAAGATCATTGATATTGTACCTGTAAACCGCGAACGGCATTCTAGTGTTGCTTCGAAATATTAATGCGTTTTTACATGGTACGAACTTTTTGTTGTACGATATGCATACCACGATAACAAAGTATTCAACAAAACACATGCTT